GATGTGATGCATATTATAAACAGCTACAAATACGTATAAATTTAATGCCTTTTAATCTACCATGAGGTGACCACATCATGCAAAAGATGGCCAATTAAAGTTTCAATCTGAGACTTATCTCTCTCTCTCTTTTTTTTTTTTCTAATCTGGATAGACTTATCTTTGGTGTCCTGACAATTGTTCATCTTGAGGAAATTAAGGTAGCATCCAGTATTATATGACATGAAACTGTTTTCTTCTTATATCATGAGAGGCAATAATGTGTTTCCCTCCCAGGAAAATGGGATCTTAGGCCTCTAAGAAATCCCCTCTAACTCTTCTTCAGCTAGTATTAGGATTCATCAATGTTAGTTAGCATTCTCAACTATCACTGATATTTAATCAGTACTAGGATCAAAGCACCTGCTATCCATGTGCCTCTTTGTGCTGGAAGTTAGGACATTAAAGGAGCCCAAGGTCCAGTGGAGAAGATACATAGAAAGTTCCGTAGGATAAGTACTCAACAGAGTTGTGTTCAACATACTCTGGCAATGCAGAGAGAGGGGCTGTGAAATTTATTTAGGATTAAAGGTACTGGCTTTTGAGTTGAGCCTTGGAAAAGGTGGAGTAATTAGCTAGATTGGCAAGGGTAGCAGATGGTGCCAGTGCTCCCCATAACTTTCTAGTTGAGCACTTGCTCTGGTGCAAGGATGTGCCTGGGTCTTGCACAGGGTAGCTGCTGGGGGAGTGAATGGCATCAGGATCACTACTTAACCAGCTTGAATGGGATTTGGTGGCTAAATGCTCTAGATTTCTCACCCCTCAAGGGAAACATCTCCAAAATGGGATCTCCAGTAAGTACCAGGGTTCCTCGGTGGGATTGGACCCCAGTTGCCCACAGTGGCCACCTGTTCACTAATGCCCCTTTTCCTGGCTCCCTTACCTTTTTTGTCTCACTCCACCCCACCCCCATGCTTCCTAGGATGGCCTATTAAGCAAACTGTCTGCATTCAGATGCTAGTCTGAGGATTCTAGTCTTCATCCAGTACAAGGACCCTGACTCAGCAATGCACACTCAGAGTGCACTCCAGGAAGGAGGAACAGCATTCCAGGAAGAGGCACAGAGGTATGACAGGCACAGACTACTTTATTTAGGGAAAAGGAAGAATCTGGGCGTGATGGCACAGACCTGTAATACCAGCGTCTCAGAAGGCTGATGCAGGAAGGTTGCAAGTTCAAGGACAGCTTCAGCAATGTAGCCAGGCCCTAAGCTACTTAGCGAGACCCTGTCTCTAAATAAAATATAAAAAGGGCTGGGGATGTGGCTCAGTGGTTAAGCACCCCTGGGTTCAATCCCCAGGGAGGAGGAGGAGGAGGAGGAGGAGGAGGAGGAGGAGGAGGAGGAAAGGCAGGTAGATAAACAAGAATGGTATTACAGAGATGCATGAATTCCTTGTTAAACAACGGCTCTCCCCTCTATGGTGATTAGAATGGGACTTTCAAAAGTCCCTCTGGAGCTCTGGGGGTGGGCAGGAAAGCTGTCTGGGGAGGCAGGAGAAAACAGACCGGCTCCTCTTCATCCCTGGCCCCTTTTGCCCAAGGCTCGGTCTCTAAATTCCAGCTCTGTCCAGCGCTGGGGGCAGAGGCTCCCACCTCAGCCAGCCACCTGCTTCCCTGCTGAATCTCTGGCTGCCCTCCTCACCTGCCAAGCCCTGCTGTTGCTGGGGCTGCAGTCGCAGTTGCTGGAGGTGGGCGGAGCTTGGTCCCCGACTGACAGCTCCACACAACTGTTTGTTACCAGGCCTGGGGCTGCAGTCTATCCCCATCGGCTGTTCAACTGGAATTTTCCTTTCTGCAGACTTGCCTGTCTGCACGCTGGGTGCTGGGTGCAGGGCTCATCTGAGATTTCCTATTCAGGGGGTCATTGATATTCCTCTCTTGTCAGCTCCTGTCAATGGGGATATTGGGAAAAACATTTGCAGGGGAGGCTGCCCAAGGATCAGGTGTCTTTCCAGCCTCCCTGGATACAGGGATGGGTTACCTTTTTTCTTTTAAAAAAAAAACCATTTTTTTTTTTTAAGCAAGTCTTTACAAGCAGTCCTGTGTCTCGTTTCCTTTTCTTTCTGTTTTGACTTTTGTTTATTTATTTATTTTTGCTTTCTCACTTCCTCCCTCCTGCCAGGCCCCAGAGTAGGCATTCAAGATTCAGAGATGACTCAGACAAAAATCTCTGCCCTCAGAAAGATCCTACTCTAATGGGGGAAACAGAACATGACCCAGTAATTATAACACCATGTGCTGAGTACTATGATTGAGTTATTTATGTATTTTTAAAATATTGGTTCAATGAATTGAGAAAAAATAAATAAATGAATACATGTCAGGGCTTGGAGGAGAGAGGCACAATCAGGCAGGGCTTCCTAGAGGCGGTGGTGCCTGAGCTGTATTTGGAAGGGCGTAATCATGAGCACCTGCTAACTGTCAGACACCATGCTAGGCCCTTCAAGCTCATATTGTCATGACAACACTGTGAGGCAGATGGCCCTGTTTTACAGTGGAAGAAAACCTCAGAGGGATTAGATAAGTTGCCTGAAATCACAAACTTGCAAATGGTATAGTCAGGATTCCAGAGCAGCTCAATCAACCATGAAATCTGTGGTTTCTTTTTTGGAACACGCACCGCGCTGCTAGGTACAGGGAAGGGCATCCCAAGCTGACGGAAGAGCTGGAGCAGATGTTTGGAGGCACACTTGAAGAGAGCACAGGGGCTATCTTCTGCGACCCTGGGTTGGCATGCTCTCTAATCCCCAGAACCTTGCAAGCATTTGGCTGTGATCTATAGGAAAAGCAAGCGGCCTTCAGGAACTGTTCAACTCTTCTTTCTAAAGTTGAGAATCTCAGTTCTTCTGTGCCAGGCTGTGTGACCTTGGGGAAGCCTCTTCCCTTCTCTGAGCCTCTGTTTCCCCATTTTTTTAAAAAGAGAGTGAGATTCCTACTTAGTAGAACTGATGCAAGAATTGAAGATGAGATCTGTCGCCATCATTACTATTGATCTGTTCAAGGTGACTTTAGGCTACCTGGGTCTGGCTCCTGATGGAGGGGTTGGCTGAAACACGAAGCAAGGAGACTTCAAGATAATTGGATGGGGGAATGCCATCTATCTGCCAAGAAACGAGGGTGCTGGCAGTCAGCCTACTTCTAGCCTGCTTCGAATGGACCAGATGCTATTTTGGAGATGAGAAAAGACATTCTCCTGACACTAGCAGTCTAGGGAGAAGATAAAAACCAGGAGATAGAAATACTGACTCACTCCTGATCAGGAACGGGCGGCAGGCAAGCCAGTCAGGTATCTTTAGCTCTTCATCAGGCATGCATGGCAGATTCTGCAAATATGCAGGGTGGAGGGGAAGGGATGGAGGGAGCATGCTGATGTGCTTTCAGACAGAATCACACTCATAGAGTCAAGTGTGAGACCTTGGACTGCAACTCTTTTCTCAGATCCCTGGAGCTGGCTCTTTATAAGAGTAGAAATGGGGCCATCTGCTCTGAGCTGGCCCTGGAACTAAGGAACCTCTCCCTGGGGGTAGCCACGCAGGAACTCATATGATGTGGTGTCGTGGGTTGGCAGGGGAGGAAAATTTTTTCTCAATGTGCAGATATAGTAAGGGAAAAGTTAGGATTTGTTTATTTATTTACTTATTTGCAACTGTTGGAAGAGCTTGCCCATTTTCCTCTACTGCAAATTTGCCAAAATGATTCCTACCTCATAATGGCTACTGCCAGGGGTAAATGAGAGAGTGGACATACAGCATCTGTCACAGTGCTTAGGACATACAGTGCTTAATAAAGGTGGCAGTGATGATGACGTGCTATTTCACTGCTATCGAAGGTGTCTTTTTATTTTCCTTTTTAGTCAGAATCCCCAAATTCCAACCAGATATGATAACTATATCAAAATGAAATCTTTTGCATAGAATCTCATAGGTTATCCCAACCTCTTTATTTTGCACATGAAGAAAAGGAGACTCAAAAAAATTGACTTCAGAGTACTGAATAGATATCAGACTATGAAGATCGAACCAGGGATTAAAACATATCTGGGCCGGGCACTGTGGTGCATGCCTGAAATCCCATCCACTTGGGAGCCTGAGGCAGGAGGATCACAAGTTCAAAGCCAGCCTCAAGAACTTAGCGAAGACCTAAGAAACTTGGTGAAATCCTGTCTCAAAACAAAAAAATTAAGTCCAGGGATATGGCTCAGTGGTTAAGTGCCCCTGGGTTCAATCCTCAGTACTAAAACAAAACAAAACAACAAAATATACATCTGCCTATATTTAAATAAGAACATATGTTTCACTAAGCTATTTTCTTTAAAATAATCGCTATCATAAAAGCATTCCCAGCCGGAGCTCTGTGGTGCACACCTATAATCCCAGCAGCTTGGGAGACTGAGGCAGGAGGATCGCGAGTTCAAAGCCAGCCTCAGCAAAAGTGAGGCACTAAGCAACTCAGTGAGATCCTGTCTCTAAATAAAATACAAAACAGGGCTGGGGATTTGGCTCAGTGGTTGAGTGCCCCTGTGTTCAATCCCCAGAAGCCTCCCCCGCCAAAAAAAAAAAAAAAAAAAAAGGTTTCCTATCACCAGGTGGCCTTGGTATTAGGACCTATTTATACAATCTCATTTAATTTTCTTCAATGACTTTGCAAAGAATTATTAACCCCATTTTTATATATAAATAAACTAAGTCTTATTAGAGAAATGGCGTGATACTGCCTTGTTCATAAGTGGCTGAAGCAGGGTATAAAGCTACATGAGTTTGGCTCTAACTATCTAACTGGTTCACAATCCAGGAGTGGCCCAGGAGGACTGAAGAGCCAGGGGCTACCTGTTGGCTCTTTGTAAACACAGCAGTTCACTCACTAGCACCCTGTCAGTCCCACTTCCCACCACGGGGAAAGCATCTCCATTGAACAAGGACTGTATCAGAAGTAGAGGGAGGGGGTTGCTTTCTGCACAGAAGTGGTCCAGAACGCTCAGCCCTGCCTCTGGCGTGGGTCGAACGCTAAGTGGAGGGGATGCTCCCTTGCTCCTGGCTGAAGCAGTGCGAGGAGGCTGCTGGAAAACAACTGATAAATCCTCCGAGTTTCCCAGGCGGGGGAAACCCACTCTCTGTTGCTCATGTGTGCATGACAGAGATGCTCCTCCGTCGCCATAGCAACAGCCAACACATCAGCATCCTGCAAAAGGCCAGAGCTGCTTGGTGAGGAGCTGGGGTCCTGGTTGGGTGAAAACAGGGCTGGGGTACACTGGGGTGGAAAGAAGGGTGTCTCATTAGCTAGATTCTTCTGGCTTGAAGCTAACTTGTTCCTTGGGCAGGATCAATTTATTCAGGGTCCTGTTATGCTAATTCTCTGTGCCTGAAAGACTTTGGGTAATAAGAGATGGTAGGGGAGCTTATGAGAAGAGTCCAGGAGGGCATGGTATTTCTCTGATGGCTTTTGATAAGTGTGTTTTTTGATAAGTGTGTTTATTAATGGATTCATCTCTCTTAGGGGCTTGTCCGAATATCCTAATGGAGAATCTCACAGGTTTTGCATTCGGTCAGTCCTGCTTTCTAGCTCTGCAACATTTTAGTCCCGAGATCTTATCATAGCTGAGTATAAATTGCTTCACTGGCTAGAAAAAAAAGCAGGGGGGGCGTTGATACCTAATATATGAAGATAACATATGCGCAGTTCCTGGTATGTAGTGGTTTTTTTTTTTAGAGAGAGAGAGAGAGAGAGAATTTTAATATTTATTTTTTAGTTTTCGGGGGACACAACATCTTTATTTGTATGTGGTGCTGAGGATCGAACCCGGGCCGCACGCATGCCAGGTGAGCGCGCTACCGCTTGAGCCACATCCCCAGCCCTCTGGTATGTAGTTTAATTGTAGTTATTATTGATTCCCCAACACCATCAGAGAAATGGAGACTTGGTAAGGGGACCATCTCTGATTCCCTTAAAATCAGGCAAAACCTGGACTTAGAATTCACATCTCCTATGCATCTTTCTCGAACCATCTGCTAGTATTTAGTGTTTGCTCTGCAGATCTGGCCCCTGCTTGTACTCCCTCTCCGCCTAGAGAATGTCACAGCACCAGACCTTGGGGATCACCTCACTTAGCTCCCTCTCCTTCATTTTCCAGGCCAGGAAATGGAACCCTTGAGAGAAGAATGAAGTGTCCCCATTCAAGGTCACCCGGGGAAGGTAGAAGCATTAGTTGAAGCGGTTGTTACATTAGCAGGTATGACTAAGCCTGAGAGTCACTGCAAGAGGGTCGGCCTCACACCTGCCTGGATTCCCCTGGGTATTTAATGTTGGGATAAGTATGGGTGGGGAGACACCTTTTTCTGTATTTCAGTTGTAGTGTTGGTGAGCTCTGTGGTTCCACAGGCATCAGAAATATAAATAGCTAACATCTGCACAGTCCTTTACAGCTTATAAAATACACTCTGAGTGTATTTTATAATGCTGTCTTATTGAGTCTTCCCAATAGTCCTTCAATGTAGTCCTGATAGTTATTACTGTTCTTTGACAGGTAAGGAAACTGAGGCAGGAATTGACTTGCTCAAAAGATATATAACTAACAGAAGACAGATTTAGAAATTGACTTATATATGTGTGGTTCCTAACTGTAGCCAACTGGCCCAGCTCATGGTGGGGGCCTGGCTATTCTCTGCTGGCCCTATACAGATGTTGAAGAGAAAGTCATCTGGAGGGTTAGCCTGAGCACCATCAAAACAGGCCCACCTCCATGGAGATGATGAACGCTTGTCATGGACCATCCAAAACAGCAGGTAAGGAGATAGTGTGGCAGGCAATGATGGATGTCTCTTCTGGTAAATCTTTGGCACTTCCAAAGTGCTTTTCAAATCAGGCAGACATTCCCACTCTTCCTGTGAGCACAGGAGGCCCGAGCAACTCACTGAAAATTGCAAAACCATTTAGTGTCGGAGCAGGACTAGAACGAACAATTTCTGGATCCCAAACTCTTTTGACTTCTCTTGAGAGCAGATGAATGGGAATGGGTCCCTCATCCTGGGATGTGATCAGGAGCCAAGGAAGGCACGGTTTTTTTTTTAGGCGACTTCCTTTTTTGAGAGGAAACCTTGCATTTTGGCAAGGAGCTCAGTGTAGCACGTTTTCCTTTAAGCGTGGTTTTTTGAGTTCAAAGCATGTAAATTGGTTCTTGATTTTAGCAGGGGTTCTTTCACCTGCAATTTCCAGACATTTATCTGTGTTTACAATCCAGGGGGACGATCACAATGACACAAGGTACACAAGGGAAGACCTCAGAGCATCTTGGGCTTCTACAACTGGGAAAGACCTTTGCGAACCTAACACGTGGCTTCATAGGTCATGGAGGATTGCTGATGGCTCTGGGAAAAATGCCCTCTACATGAGGAAAAGGAAAGTCTTATTGGGTCTTAGAGGAAGAGACGAAGAAAAGACCCTAAATTTTTTATATTTTTTACATTTTTATATTTTGTAGAATTTCCTAAATCCAAATCCAGTTCTCTCTTCAATTCCAGGTAAAAGACTAATAGTGCTATATTATACCTGGATCTGGGATTGAGATCCGAGGGAACAGATGAGGGGAAGATTTCCACTACAGTTCATTAAAACCCAGGACACTTCTTGGCAAGGATCCAGTGGAATGTGGAGGATTTCGGTTGAAGTAGACTGGTTGACAGTTGTACCCACTGATAAAGAACTTCTGATCGTACACAACTGACCAATGACCTCCTATGCCCAATGAGAAAACAGTCTGTTCTTCCACAAGGAAATTCTTATTAAAACCTATCAGAAAATAATGTAATTAATAGAATTTTTTGATATATATGTTGTGTGTGTGTATATATTTATTTAATATTTTAAGACTGAGGACTGAGCCCACGTGCACTTTAACACTGAGATACATTCCCAGCCTTTTAAAAAATATTTATTTTTTAGAAGTAGTTAGACACAATACCTTTATTTTATTTATTTATTTTTATGTGATGCTGAGGATCGAACCCAGGGCCTCGCATGTGCTAGATGAGCGCTCTATCGCTGAGCCACAATCCCAGCCCTCCCAACCCTTTCAAAATTTTTTTATTTTGAGCCAGAGTCTCGCTAAGTTGCTTAGGGCCTCGCCAAGTTGAAGAGGCTGGCCTCAAACTTTTGATCCTCCAGTGTTAGCCTCCTCAGCTGTTGGGATCACAGGCATGTGCCACTGCTCCTGGCTTGATAAATCTTTTGTTGATCTTGTGAGTCTGTCTCTATTGCTTTAATGAAGGAATCTTAAGTAAAGCAGTCCTCTGGGAACATTCTGATCTAGATCCCATGATTGGGAGACTAATCTGTATTAGATGCTTTATCTGGCGTTATAGATCATTCTGAGAAACGGAACACAGAATCCCACACCTTGAGAGGCTCATAAAAAGACAAGCTGGATGAACACTAATGACATTAACATACAAAGTAGTCCTCCATTACCTTCAGGGAATATACTCCAAGACTCCAAGTGATGCCTAAACCCACAAAAATCTCTCTACATTGTTTCCTAAACATACATATGTATGACAAGGTCTAATTTATAAATTAGGCACAGAAAGAGGTTAATAGTAATAGCTAATAATAAAATTGAACAATTATAACAATATGCTATAATAAAAGTGGTACACATCTGGTCTCTCAAAACATCTGACTGTAGATCTTAGCAATCTTGGCATATGTTTTTTTTTTTCTTATTAAATTGAGAACGGTCACCTTTTCACTTAAAGAAAGCACTTTACAGCTCCTCATTAGCATATTCTCTTTTGGCCAGCATCATTATTCTTGTGCTTTGGGGGTCATGAAGTAAAACAAGGGTCACTTGAACCTAAGCACCCTTGTACCACGACTGTTGATGGAATAATGGAGACAGCCTCTGAGTGACTAATGGGTGGCCAGTACATCCACACTGGATGAAGGGATGATTCACGTCCCCCGTGACAAAACAGGACAGTGGGAAATTTCATCACATTACTCGGAATGATGCATAACTCAAAACTTATGAATTGTTCCTGGAATTTTCCACTTAGCATTTTCAGATTGCACCACAGGTAACTGGCACCATGCGCACCACTGCAAAACCGTGGATCAGAGGGAACATCAGTACACAAACAGAGTCTCTCTGAGCCTCCCCTACAAATGCTGGAGGGCATACTACACGCCAGGTGCCTTGCAAAAGTTCAAGGGATAAAGCCACAACAAGGACAAGGATTTTGGTTTCTAGGAGTAGATCATACAATCTTATTTCTTGTGAGTACAGCTTCAGATTTTGCTCATTCTTTATTTATTTATTTTGCAGTACTGAGGATTTTAACCTAGAAGTGCTCTACTATTGAGCTCCATCCCCAGCCCTTTTTTATTTTGAGACAGGGTTTCACTAAGTTGCAGAGGCTGGCCTCAAACTTGCGATCCTCCTGCCTCAGCCTCCTGAGTGGCTAGGATGATAGATGTGTACCACTGCACCAGGCCTGAACTGTCTTCTTAAGGCAAGAACTTGAGTTTGATTCATCTTTTAATCTCCTTTACACTCCAGTCCCTAGCATAATTTTCATGTGAATTAGGCACTCAAAACATACTTGTTAATTGGTTCATTTAAAAAAAATTATACATACACTACAAGCTTACTGGGAGAATTAATAAAATCTCTCTTCTATCTATCATCTATCAATCAAGTTTTATATATAGTTATATAAAAAGGATGTCTCCAGTCACATAAAAAGCAGAAGTGACACAGTGCCTGACATCCCACCAATAGAGATACATATCTTTGGAAAAGATTACTTTGATTCCCTCAAAATATTTCCAGGAAGGACAGTGCATTAAATTAGCCCTATTTAATTATTAGTGACATCAGTATTATTCTTCAATAGATAAGAACTGGGGTGGATAAGAATACAGTTCACCTTTCAAACGACCTGTGTCAGGTATGGTGCCTGATGTTGGGGTCACAGATGGTTAAGACCCAACCTATTCTTGAAAAGCTTACATTCTAGTCACCACAATATTTTATTATATTTTCTTCAGGAGTTCTAACAAAGACAATACATAGTGCTCCTGGAGGATTGAGGGAAAATTCCTAGAGAAGTCATCAGCCACAATAGCTCCTTGCCATATTCACTTGAGCACTTCCTCCACTTCTCTACTGGTACACTCTTACAGATGCCTCAAGACCCAGCTCAGTATTACCTTTCCCAAGCCTCACAGACAGAACAAATTCTTCCCTCCTTGGTGTTCCTAGAGTACCTTACCCAAGGCATCTCTCCCATCTTCCTTGTGGTGAATCATTCCTGTGTTTCCCTCGATTCCCCATAGATTGCAAACTTCTGATACTCGGGGCCACTTCCTAATTGCTCCCATCCCCGGGGCCTGGGACCTGGTAGCAGGAAAGCCCGCTGCATTATTGCAATTGACTGCACACCCCTCTGATACACTGACTCAGAGTTGGATTGCACATCTCCAAGCCCCAAGCTGTGCCAGCTGGGATGTAGGAAGCAAGAATGGCCTGCCAATATCAGTGACAAGCCACTTACTGATTCTATCCAGCCCAGTTAAGGCGTACTGAGAGGCAATTTAAATAATAATAATTTAGGCACCACTTCTGTAATATCCACTATATACCAGATGTTTTACACACATGCTCTCATTTACTCTAACATCCTCAAAAAGTGTTATTTCTGCTCTTTTTTTTTTTATCATCTGGGAGAAAAGTGGTTCAGAGGGATAATTTGTCCAAGGTCATTTATCACTCTAGGTGGTCTACTTGCAAAGCACATCTGCTCTGTTGTGCTCCAATACAACCAATATGTATATCCCATGAGATATACACCATGAGAGGTGAAAATAAAAGTCCAAGGTTCACACAAGATTGAGAGTCCAGGCACACAGAAGGTGACAATCAGAAAAGTCGTGGATGGTAAGGCAGATGTGAACAATGAATGGACTGGGAAAAACCAAACATCTTTCAACAGCATTGAATACACCAATGCATGTCAAGGAAGTAGACGGGGAGCCTTAGACATCCCCTTTGTGGGGTCCTGCACAGAGGGTTTCCAAACTTCCCATGGTTTCCTCTCTCTGATCAGTGAGGAGGTGGAGAGAAGTTCGAGCTATTAGATGGGCGACTGAAAATGCACCCCATGGCTCCTTCTCAGGCATCAGATAGGATCCCTTTCTCTCAAAGTAGAGGAGGTAGCCTTCCCTGTGGTCTTGACCTCCTCTTGAGGTGGGGAGACACATTCTCTCAGCCTTGAGGAAGAAGGAGTGGTTCTTTTTTTTTTTAATCTCACCATACAGGGGGTCCTTGTTAGTGGAGCGAATTATTCCTTTCTCCCTCACCTGAGGATTGGGGAGCTGGCTCATTTCTCCCTAGCTTTGGGAAAGGAGGTGATTCTTTTCTTTCTCATTACAGGATGCATGCAAGTGTGTGTGTGTGTGTGTGTGTGTGTGTGTACACGCGCAAGGGGGATGGCTCCTTTTTCTCACCTCAAGGTAGGGAGGCTGACACGTCTCTTCCTTCCAAAAGGAGTGGGGATGGTGTCCTGCGCCTCCATCTCGGCTGGGACACGATTCTTTTCTCTCCAACCAAAAAAGGTGGTGGGGAGACTCTCAGCTCTCTCTTCCCTTCCTTCGAGGGAAGGACTAGCTCTCACGCCCTCTCCACACAGTCACGCTCAGGTGACGGGAGGCCTGGCTCTCCCTATCCCCAAGTCCCCCCAGAGCTGAGAGAAGGCGGCCAGGAGCCCTCAGCGCTGGCGGCAAGGCGGGGGCGGGGCCGACGATGCGGCGCGGGGCGGGGCCAATCATAGCCACGCCCCTCGTCCCGCCCCTCGCCTCCCGCCCAGCCTCGCGCTGCCGGGCTCGCCCGCCCAGTGCGCCGCGGCTGTCTGCTGGGCTCGCGCGCCGCCGACCGAGCCTCAGCCGCCTCAGCCGCCTCAGCCGCCGCCTCAGCTTCGCCCTCCGCCCCTCGCCTCCCACCGCGCCTCCCGGTCCCGCCGCCCCGCGCGCCCCCAGCCCCTCAAACCAGATGATGAACTTCCTGAGGCGCCGGCTGTCGGACAGCAGCTTCATCGCCAACCTGCCCAATGGCTACATGACCGACCTGCAGCGGCCCGAGCCCCAGCAGCCCCCTCCGCCACCCTCAGGGGCGGCTTCGGCCTCGTCGGCGACCCCGGCCGCCTCGCCGGGCCCCGAGCGGAGGCCGCAGCCCGCCCAAGCGCCCGCGCCGCAGCCCGCGCCGCAGCCCGCGGCGGCGCCGTCGGTGGGCAGCAGCTTCTTCAGCTCGCTGTCCCAAGCCGTGAAGCAGACGGCCGCCTCGGCGGGCCTGGTGGACGCGCCCGCGCCCGCGCCCGCCGCCGCCAGGAAGGCCAAGGTGCTGCTGGTCGTCGACGAGCCGCACACCGACTGGTAGGTGACCCGCGCCTCCCGGGGTGGGGTGGGGGTGGGAGCGGGGCAGGCCGGGGAGAGGATGGTCCCGGGTGGTCCCCAAGGACACAGCTCAGACCAGAGCAAAGTGGGGTCCGCGTGGTCCTGCAGCAGGGAGATGGGGACGAGCGTGCGCGCGTGTGTGCGTTTGGGGGGCGAGGGCGGGCGCTGATCAGCCCGGACAGGTGACTCCAGAGTTAAAAGACTTACTCAGATGCTCCAGATCCCCTCCACCCCACGGCCCCGAGACAGAGAGAAGGAGCTACTTTTTGCAACGGGAAAGACTCTGAAGAAATAGTTCTTTGGGGGGGTAGGGAGAAGGAAGGGGCACACTGGACAGCTTAGACACATTCAAACCCTAAATGAAAATGGTCCCAGAGGGCCCTTTTTGAAAGACCGATTTATAAAAAAGGTTTTGCTTCATGAGATATGCAGTGAATTGGGAATGAAAAAATAGGCACAGGGTGGGGTGATGGTGATTTTTTTTTTTTAAACCTGCACCCTTGAAGACTGATATCAAATATGCACATCAAGGTGGATCAAATCACAGATGTAGTAGCCTAGGTGTCTGTCCATCCACTGGTTTCCTCCGAGTGTGGCTGAAGTCTGTTTAATAAGAATAAAATTCTTGTAATTTGTGCAGCAGGGAAGGGATGTATGGGTTTTTGGTTTGTTTTTGTTTTTAATAATGTGGTTGTGGGGGTGGAAGCGATTGGTAGCTTTTTCCAGCTGAGAGATGAAGACCTAAATAATATATTCTGGATTTTTACAGGTGCACAATAAAAGGATCTGCCTTAATGCAGTAGATGGGAAACTTCAAGATGTTTTTCTTTTCTTTTCCTTTCTTTTTTTTTTAAAGGGATATGTGGTATTTTTCCAACTTAGAATGGTGAAGGCTGGGAAAACTGTTATCTCTAGTTGGGAAAAGCATGAATGAACGTTTAAGACTAGGAGTGGATCTGTTTGATGCAGCAGAAGGTTGACCTGTGGGATGGTGGGATGGTGAAATTGACTGGTAAAGGGCTTGAAGAAAAGAGGGCCAGAAATCTGGGATGATTTTTCCTTACGAATATGAGGAAAGGTTTTTTTAGTTTGTGTGTTTTATTTTTTCTCAAAGGGGTTGAGGTTGGACCTGAGTATTCCTCCCAAGAGGGAGGCACAGAGGGACCACAGAGCTGTTTATCTCCATTTCCTCTTGGCTGCTTCATTGCTTTTTTCCCTCAAGCTCTCATTGAAAGGCCTTGGGGAGAGGGGGAGCGTATGAGCAGGGAGAAGTGAGATGTGGATGTGGAGGTGCCCTCCTGCTGGCTGCTGATGTGGCCATTCTAGAGTCCTCTGGGTGACTTTTGTGATTGGCTTCTTCTCCTCAACAGTGGAGTAGAAAGACCCTTACCAGGAAATGACAGAGGTCATGCAAGGGGGGTAATGGCAAAGGTATAAGGAAATACTTCAGTGCCATTGACAACCCCCACTTGAGAATTGCTCTCAGTTTAAATCAACAAGTGCTTATTAAGGGGGAAGGGAAGGTAACTAAGCTCTATTGAGCATCCATTATATGCCGAACTCTACGAGTACAGTCAATAATGATATCCCTTTGGATTCTTACCCATAAAACTGAGCCTTACAAAAAGTAAGTGAAATGTTCATAGTCAAATAGCCAGCAAATGGTAGAGCCAGGATTTGAATTTAGGCCTGCTCCATTGTTGCCACTCCATTATGTTATATTGCCTCATATTATTATATTACTATTAGCAACATTAATAATAAGTTCCCTTTAGGGGGATGAGCAATGTGGGGACCTTTTGGAGAACTCATTCTCAAATTTTGGAGACAAATGGATTCATGAAACAGTTAACAAAAAGGGATCAAGAATTATTAGTTGAGACTAGTGTTTCAATAATTAATGAGAGCTAGAATTATTGGAGAAAGCTTCACAAAAGATGAGTCCAGGGATAGGTATATAGCTCATTTGGTAGGGTGCTTGCCTCGCATATTCAAGGCCCTGGTTTGATCCCCAGCACCACACACACACAAGATGAGTCCTGAGGAAAGGCCAGGAAAAAGGGGAGAAAAGAGAATGACATTGGTGTTTCATTTTTCTGTGTAAGAATCTGACCCTTATTCATATTTTCCTGATCTCTCATCCTGTTGAGCCTATTTGTTTAAGTCTAAGTGCTAGTTAGGTACACAGAGGTAGATAGAAAATTATTTTGTATTTGTACTATAAAGCTGCTGCATATCTGTGTTTTAGTTAGGAATGCTTCAGTGGATTGAGATCTGCAACTCTCATTTTATAGTATTATTTTCTAGGAAGAGTACCTGGCATAAACCAGAGAATTTGCCTTGCCCTGGAGACTAGACTTCTGATGGAAGTAATAGAAGCCACTTTCCTGTGGGCTGACTCCCAACTGCTTTCTGATTTTCTCTGAAGTAATAACATTGATTTATTAAAACTCATAAGCCCAGTTTGAGTCTGGTGCTTGACAGCACTTCTGTGCTTCTGTGTTTTTGTGCTTAATAGCAATTCCCAGAATTGCAGACTTTTTCGTCTTCTAACATAGGTCTTAATTTGTTAAAAACAACTCAGTTAAATATTGATGAATGATTCTATTGAAAGATTCCTATGAATTAGGGAGCAGGTGCCTGCATATGACAAGCACAGTACCTTACAAAAGTGGTTTTGGCTCAAAAGGCTGATTTTTGATAAATCTGTCTCACAGTTTAAGCTACTTAGATAGCATTCAGTAAGCAGGTATCATATATATCCATTTCATTTTCCTGGTGTTTAAATAGGAAGTCAGAGAGTAATCTCCCAGTAGAATTTAAGAATATTGGTCCCATCGGAATTATAGAATGCTAAAATAAAGAGTGTTTTTAACAAGCATTTAAATAATTGGAGATTTTAAAAGAAAAGCTTAAAATAGGCACCCTCTCAGAACATCCTTTATACGTAGCAGATTTCTTTGAATTTCTATTAGTGTAATTGTGGGCAATGTAATTTGGAGACCTTACTACTGACTAGGTTGATGGGAAAATTGGAGGGTGTTTCTCTCTCTTTCTTTTGCTTGAAATATTTTCATGTTGCCTGAGTTATTTAGATTAATTGCACACTAAAAGATCATTGAAAAATGTGAATGTTCCACTAAAAAATGAAGTCAATTTCATTATATAAGTTATTCATTATTAGTAGTATTTTTATATCATCAGAAAATGTATGACTTCAGGTTCATTTCTAAATTTGAAGTGCAATTAGGATTGCACTTTAATGTTCTTTATACTTAAACAAGGAACTGGTACCAATTTGTGTATGTCATCTTTTTTTTTTTTTTTTTTGTATTATCCTCTCTCTGGTGAAGAGGTAAGTTTTCATTCAGATTCTCCTCAGCCTCCATTTCATTGGTTCTGATCCCAGTGGCCAAGTTAGCTTTTCATTCTGGCACATTTCACTGTTTTATTTGAAAATCAGCATAACTAGGCACTCTTAATTTCCTAGATACAGCAGATGTGATAATTCAACAGATGTTCATTGAGCACCTTCTTTTTATAAGGTTTATTTGATAAGAAAAATGGGAAATAGTATCTGTTTTCTAAGAGCTTACCCTCCAGGTGGGTAGATAGGAAAAGTAAAAAAAAAAAAAAAAAAAAAAATTTAAAAAGTTTCCTAGAAATTATCCCTGTGTTCAAAGTGTGGTCCTTGCCAGTGGTATTAGCATCAACCAGGAGCTTTTTGAGCTACACCCTTTCAGGTTCCACCTTACATCTTCTGAATTGGAATTTATACTTATACAGGTATCTCCAGGTGATTCATCATCACACTAATTTGAGATGCATCAAACAGAAGGTTATGTGATTAGTGCTAAACGCATGGGTACAACATCAACTACTGTCATTTATTGAGCAGTTTCTATATGCCAGATGTTAGTAGAAACACTTTATAAATCTCTTTAACTCTTAACAATAGTAGTATAATTCTGTAGAAGTTTAAAAGAGAGAGATTGATATGGGCTAAAGTGGGCTTCATGGCAGAAGTGAGCCTTGAAGAAATTTGAGGAAATAGATATATACAACCTGTCTTCTACTTTCCTTACTTTTATTTTTTTCCATCCCTGACTCTCAAGGACTGATGGAAACTTTTGTTTATATATAGCATTTAAACTTGAAGGAACTTGAATGATCATCTAACCCAGAGAATGGAATGATTTGCCCAAGGTCAAATAAGAAGTTAGCAAGAGAACAGGAACTAGATTTACATCTTCTGACTCCAATTCAAGTTTCTTAAGTTACTCTGCGCGCTCGCCTGGCATGCGTGCGGCCTGGGTTCGATCCTCAGCACCACATACAAACAAAGATGCTGTGTCCGCCGAAAACTAAAAAATAAATATTAAAATTCTCTCTCTCTCTCTCTCTCTCTCTCTCTCTCTCTCTCTGTCTCTCTTTAAAAAAAAAAAAAAGATTCTCAATTTAGTCCCTGTTCTACTTTAAAAAATACTGTTTGCATCTGCTTCTTTTAAAGGCCCATTGTGGAGTTATTAGAAAGTGCTTAAAAAAAGAATGACTTGAGAATATCACACTGTAGCCACATCAGCAATTATACTGTTTCTTATTTGGGCTATTATTGTTTCAAAATGGTTGAAAAAAACTCTTAGAAAACCAGTCATCAGGGGCTGGGGATATGGCTCAAGTAGTAGTGCGCTCACCTGGCATGTGTGAGACACTGGGTTCGATCTTCAGCACCACATAAAAATAAAATAAAGATATTGTGTCTACCTAAAGCTAAAAAAATAAATATTAAAAAAAAGAAAGAAAACCAGTCATCAAAATCCAACAATCCAACAATCTGCTGGTGATGTGGCAGACACCTATAATCCCAGAGACTGAGGCAGCAGGATTGCTTTAGCTAGGCCCTAATCAACTTAGTGAGACCCTGTCTCAAAAAACAGAAAAAAATAAAAATAAAAAGGGTGGAAGATATGACTCAGTGA